TTCCAAATTTGGTCTCATTCGATTCAGAATGGCTTGAAACGTCGAGAAAACATAAAATTAGCGAATCGGGTTTTTTGATGAAAACATAAACTTCTCCTTCGGGAAGTTAAAAAAACTCTACCGTCAAGCAAAATGGCTTTAGATATTAATATTAGAAGAGAATTCTATTGACGAGCAAACTAAATCTAGAAATTTAGATTAAAAAAATTTACTGTCGAGCATATGAATTAAAATTAAAATTGAAAAAAAGAACTCTACTGACAAAGACACAGATTATAGAATAGAAATAAAATAAAGTACTTTACTAACAGATGTATATCTAAACAAATGTATATCTATTCAATATTAAGCACATTTTCGTTAATGATTTTACTAAAAGATTAAAATTGAAAAAGGAACTCTACTGACAAGCAAAATTAACTTTTGTCATAAAAAATTAAATACTCTCTACGGATCAGAAATACGGACTGTCCCTAAAAAAACTACTGACGAGTAAAATGAATTTGAATTTGAGGAGCATATTTTTAAAATACTCTGTACGGATCGGAGACATGGACTCTAAAAAAGAAACCTCATTATTATTAATACTAATGCAAAGGGTGCAAAACAATATCGAAACTTTCGGTACTACTAGCATATAATATTATTATTAAATTTAAGTTTATTATTCATTTTAATCATCACCACATAATTTGATTTGCTAATTTCACGTTTTTTTTTTAACATTCCAAATCATTCTGAATCGTTTGGCACTAAAGTCAAAATGAGAAATATAAGTCAAAATTGATAGTTCATCGACGTTTTTCTTCAAATCTGCTTAACCGATTTTAAAAATTTATAAGACATTCGATGAAATTTTATTAGGACTCAAATTTATTGATTTTTGGCTACTATAGGTCAAGCCGTTTATTTATTATTGCCAAAATAGTGCAAGATTTTGCAAAATTTGGCAAAAATCCTGAACCAATTTTAAAAATTCAAAAACAATTTGAAAGATTTCATTTGTGAATTGGGCTGATTAATTTTTGAAAAATATAAATTTTTGCAAGTAAACTTTGTACAGTTTGTCTGAACAAGAATCCTAAAATATTATAAGCTTACAAAAAATAGTTCATTAAACTGTGATACACTAAATCCGTGCCCTTAAGCCATACACCATGTATATTCCAATACCTTCATCCACTCTTAATACAAAAATAATTTATTCCATCGAATATCATCCCTTAAATCCCCTCGATGGCTTTCAAAGCGATTGATTTATGTACTGAGTCGCGTATTAGCGAACGATTCCGCGACATGGGGTGCATCGCGATTGCATAGAAAAAATTCAGTGCAACGGTATTAACCACTTTGTACGCTTCTGGTAATAAATCTAATTTGGATTAATTCGTTTTAAATTGGTACGGAAATTATATAAATAAATATATATAGAGACAGGTTTTGAAATTGACAGGTGAAATAAAAATAATAATGATAATAATAAGAGTATTGCTATAAAAACAGTATTATATGACAATTTTTTTAATTTAAATTTTTTATTGTAAGATATAAATAAAAATGAGTAGTAAATTCGTATTTCTCTCGTCGAGCCCTTTTCAACGATATGTCACATGCAAAATAGTGTTCGAAATTTGCCTTGAGGCAAGTTGCACATTAATATTTTAAGTAATAACATTATTGTGAGCGAGAAAGAGATAAAAGATGCGTCACTAACAAGTGAGTGAGTGAGAAAACAATACAATTTCTGAATTTCATATAGTTAACCCTTATTACAAACTAGTTAATCAAATTTATTTGGGTTTTAATTTAAATTTTAAGATACTATTTGTCTTTGTTTTATCTAATGAATTTTTAGGATGTACATTTTCCTAAAAAAAATAGTTAGCATTGATTTTGATTAGTATCAAATAGTATCAATTTCTAACTATTTTAGTATAAGTAAAAACAAATACTAAATTCGTATTCCTTGCTTCGAGCCCTTTTCAATGATATGTCACTTGCAAAATAGGGTTCGGGATTTGCCTTGAGGCAAGTTGCTGTCCTATCATTTAATTTAACCAAAAATTTAGTTTAAGTATTGAATAAAAATTCATTTTTAGCAAATTTCTGAAATGACAATTTAGCATATTTCCAAAATGATTAATAGATGATTTTGAAAAATGTTTTATTAGAAATAGACTTAAAAAAAACTCTACTGACGAGCAAACTAAATTAACCAATTTAACTGACAGTAAAAAAAACAATTTTAAATAAATCATTTTACAGATCTCCTAGTTAAATATACCCATTTAAAATCCGCAAACAATCCATATAGTTTTATTTGCAATTTTTCACATTTTTCACAAAAGTTTCTGAGAAAAGTTTCACGCTTCGTCGTTCGTTCTATGAATACAAATTGCATTTAACAAGGAGGACGAAAATACTAAAACAGCAACTTGCCGACAGGATGGATTGGTGAAATAGATGGAACTGATATCGGCTACTGAAGGAAACGAAAATCTAAGTGTAAAATCAGTGAAATTTGTGACAATATTCTGATGCATTGAAAAAAAAAAGATAGTTGCAAATTTTTCTTTCTGAAGTTGTAAATAAAAATTTTGTTCCAGACTTCTATATTTTATTGAAATGGTTTGAAAGTAGATAAAATTATCAACATTCTTACATATTTAGATACATTTGCCTTCATACAAGCTTACATGAATATTTGCATTTCAAATTGTTATAATTCTCTTACATATGAATAAAATTAGTTGCAAATTTTCATTTCTAAAGTAAACTAAAAATTTTGTTCCAGGATTGCAAATTTTGTTTGGATGATCTATAAGTTGATAAAATCACGTATATTTTTGCGTATGTAGATACTTTTATGTTCATTCAAACTTAGATGAATAGTGACATATGAAATTTCTTCTATTTTATTACATATGAATAAAATTAGTTGCAAATTTTTATTTCTAGTGTTGCCACTAAAAATTTTGTTGCTCAAATGGTTCCAAATAGATAAAAAACAATTCTCTGAAAGTTTTAGCTCTTAATATTATAGTTTAGATAGAGCGCAATTCCATCAAAGTTTTGTATGGAAATAGCATGGAAAATTTTTCAAAAATTTAAAAAATGTTTTTTATATGTAATTTAGCAAACAAATGAATGAATAATTAATTAGAAAAAAAAACTTGTCCAGCATTCGATCGAAAACTCACATAATTTCACCTTTGAACCCAATACGTATTTTATATAGAGAGGATTGTACTTTTAAAAGACTTTTTTCTGAAAGCAGTTTAATCTTTTTGAATTCGTCAAATAGTGTTAATAAAAGATCAGATCACAATATCATTCATGACTCATATCTAAATTTTTTAAACCTGATTAAAAACAATTAATCCTAATGATTTTTGAATATGTATATACATGTATATATGTTATAATATATGTACATCCATATATGTGCTTATGTGTATGTTTTTGTGTGTACACTATATACATGCACTTGCATATATGTTCATGTATATAATTGTGGATACATTAATATATAGATATGTGCAGTGGCGTCGGAACGAAATTTTTGATGGGTGGGGTCGTTTTTTTTTTTTTTTTAGATAGACAGCCAGTGGTCTCGTTTTTTTTTTTTTTAGAGATATTAGCCCATATAATTTTTTGAAATTCATGGGTGGGCTCAAGCCCACACAGCCCACACGGTTCCGACGCCACTGGATATGTGCATATGTATGTATGAGTATGTAGGTGTGCATATACATGTGCATGTATACGTATATATATACATAATATTTCTCAACATTTACTAAAGCAACATTTCCACTTTTTTCGTAAATTACCAAACAAGAGCCATAAAAAATCATTTTTGCCAAGAATTCCGTGCGTTGTCCTTTACATCTGGCAGACAGAAATCCATATCAGTGTGTTTAAGTCTTGTGTAGTCGTAACATCTACAAATATCTTCCAAAAAAATCGAATGTTTTTAACAAAAAAATATTAGTGATATGGATATATAAATTATTACAGGCAAATAATTTTTGCTTCTCAATTTTATATAAAACCTTTTTTAGTTAATTCTTATTACTCTTTATAAAAATTTTTTCTAATTAATCTGTATTGACCATCGTTAATTAATGTTAGTCAATATTTTTAAAAAAACATTGTATTTGACAGAATAAACCTGATGATGGAACGTACCTAGTTCCGAAACGTCGTATTAAACATCTTCAAAAAACAAATTGTTTTTTATTATTGGATTTACTGTTCGGAAAAGAAACAATCAATATATATATATATATATATATATATATATATATATATATATATATATATATATATATACGTGGTCTGTTCAAAAAGTACCCGGAATTTTCGTTTTTTCAAAAAAATATTTATTTATTCGTCTACATTAATGTGGTCCCCTTCAAAGTAGTCCCCCCCAGATATAATACACTTATGCCAGCGTTTTTTCAAATTTTCGAAGCACCCTTGATATTCACTTTTTGATATGTGCTTGAGCACTCTCAGCGATTTTCTTCAATCGAGGAAAACCGCCGTCCTTTCATGGGTCTCTTCAACTTTGGGAATAGGAAAAAGTCACACGGAGCCATATCTGGTGAATTTTTGCACTTTGCAACACTTTATTTCATTTTTTACGCAAAATTTAATACAAATTCTTTGACTTTTCAATTCTTCCATTGTAAAAATCGCCGAGCTCAGAAAAACACGTCGAACCTTAGCGACTACCACAGACAAAGTAAACAGTGAATATAGCTGAAAATTTCATCATACTTTAGGGGCATGTATACCAACACAATAAAAAAAAAATTTTGACAATCAGACACTCCAGACCCGCGAAATTTAATTATTAGTAATTCCGGGTACTTTTTGAACACACCTCGTATATATATATATATATATATATATATATATATATATATATATATATATATATATATATATATACATATATAATATAATATAATTATCAAAGTATCATTACTTACTTTATCCATTACAAGACAGCCGTAATTAATTGCTTGCTCTTTGGTAGCTTCAGTTCCCATAATTGTTGCTAATGCATTATTTTGTTTCTTATGAAATTCAAGTAATTTCTGTAATGGAAAATCAGCACAAACATCACCATTTAAAATAAAGAAAGCTTCTGGAGATCCTCCCCGAATAAAATCTCGAAAATGATACATTCCACCAGCAGTTCCTAAAGCAGTAAATTCTTGTAGATACCTGTAAAATAAAATTAAATAGTTTTACTGGACTATTATCTGACTTATGTAACTACTTGTTATTCTGAAAAAACTAGATATACCTTATTTTTATTTGATATTCATGTTGCATGTCTGATATAAACTCGCTGATTTGTGAGGCTGGATAGAATCCTATTATTTAAATTTCTTCTAAATTAGGAATGCAAACGCAAGCTTCAACATGATGTTGTATTATTGGTAAGCCGGCAACTGGAAAGAGTGGTTTAGGAACATCGAGAGACAAGGGTCTAAACCTTGTTCCTAGAAAAATAAATCAATAATAATAAATAATCAAGAAATATGCTAAGGTAATGTCTGCATCGACACTATCATTCAGTGGAAAAAAAAAAACTAGATAAAGTTTCAAAATGTGTTTACAAGAATACACTTCTACAACTATTACACTATTGTTTGTTAAATCCTATTCTAATTAATAATTGAAACAAAGTTATACTACATATATGCAATTAACATGAGTGTCAAATAAGAATATAATAAAAACTATATGTATAGTAGTTGATATTCAAAATTTAAAAATTTTATAAATATTTATGATAATAGTTCATACCTTTTTGAGGACCACCTATTAATATAACTCCTTTCAACATATTGTTGTTTAATGAAACCTAAAGTAATTACACAGCATTATTTAAAAACAGTTTTGATAAGCATGAAATGCAAGCTTAGAAAAGATAATAATATGTGACGTATGCAATTTTATTGCAAAAGATAACATACCGATTATATTATATATTATTTTGTTATATGATAAAACGTTATATAAAATTAAATATCACAAATTCATATATTTTAAATATATATTTCTTATGTCTAATTAATTTTCTGTTGTTTATTTTAATATAACTTGAATAGGTTAATTTTAACTGACAGATCGGTCCTATTTTGGTTCAAAGAATTAATTATTGCTACGGACGCTACATTGCAATGGCACTTCAATATATCACTCGCCATTCAAATTAAAGCGCCAATATTTCAAATAAAAATATTTGTGCTTTAAAAATAATGTATTATTAATAAAAAAATATAGTCTTAAAAATAGTTTATTAGAACTCAAACTTTGTTCATCATACTATGTGAAAAAAATTTGTAGTTATCTAGAAGAAAAAAGAAATGATTTAACTTAAAACCTCCGTCATTAAGAAAAAACCTCAGAATCACCACAACGATTGTTTCTTCTGTGTGGTAAATATCAATGAAATAAATTCAGGCAATAGAAGTAAAAACCACAATCTCAATAGAATAAGGTCTACTTATGATCGTTACACAACCCCTATCCATGCTAATGATCAACAATCTAGAACATCAACATCTCATGCTTACCAAGTAATAGATGCAGAAAACAATATTAAAAAAGAAAAATTAAAAACTGATATATTTGATGTAATTGATTTGAATTCATCACCCGCACTCTTATTCAGAACGGTTTTTGGAAAATGTTAAATTAAATGTAAAATATTAGCGAAAAGCAGGACAGGAGTATCCACCAAGACATCAGAACTTTGGGGGAGCGATATATAGGAAGATGGGACATCCACATGATGGCTGACAATTGTTGGAGCTTATGATAAAATCTGTAAGGCCTTGTACATGCTCGAAAATCTACCATCTACCATCCAAAAATAAAAATGTTAGAAAATGCAGATAGCAGTGATTCAGGCTCCTAAGGAAATGTTTTGAGTAATATAAAACCCCATTTTACAATAATTGGTAAATACACCCAAAGGCCAATAAAATACTTCAGTTTAAAAAAACAAAATGATAAGTTTCTGTTCTGCTGCTAAAAGTGGAAAAAGAAATAATAAATCAAATAAATTTTACTTTATAGTTTAATAAAACATGTATTATTTTATTATTTTTATTAACAAAAACATTAGAACAAAATTAAGTACATCAGAAAGTCAGTCTTCCAATTTCATATTGAGTATCGTTAATTAAAATGAATACTGTCCAATTAAAGCTAAATACATAGTTCTATAAAAAAAACATTATAATAATACATAGTTCTATATAAAAACATATTAAAAATATAGATAGATAATAATTTTTCTGTATAAGTAATATTAATTATGATTTTATTTTTCTTGACTAAAGAAGCATCCGTTATTTTTCTGAATTAAAGGCCTTAAATTTATTTAAATATTCTCTTATGATTATTTTCTTATATATATATATACATTTTTTTAATTCATTAAAAATTAAAAAAAAAAAACACTTGAAAAATTTAATATCAATTCAAAAATCTAGTCAAGGTAAAATCCGGTAAAAAATTAACATTCTAAGCAAAGTGGAAAAATTCATTTTTTATCTACCCTTAAAAAAGGGTAAAAAAATTTCTTTATACCATTGAAAAATTAAAATTATAATCAAAGGTAAAATCATTAATTTTTTACCACTAAAATATTAAAATTCTAATCAGGGCTAAAAAACATTTTTTATCTTTAGAAGATTTAAATTTTAATAAAGGTTAAAATAAATTCACTTTTTACCTTTGGCAGATCAAAACTCTAATCAAAGTTAAAAGAATTTATTTTTTACCTTTGAAAAATTAAAATTTTACTCAAAGATAAAAGAAATATTTTTTTACCTTTGAAATATTTGAATGCCAATCAAAGATAAGAATTAACTTGTACCCTTTGAAATACTGAAATTATAATCAAAGGTAAAAGAAATCGGTTTTGCCTCCGAAGAATAACAATTTAATCAATGGTAAAAGAAATCACTTTCGTCTTTGAAAGATTAAAATTTTAATCAATTTTTAAGGAAGATAGGAAAATAATTTTTACCACTTTTATTTACATAAAAATTAACGTAAATGTGGAAATATTTATATTTATTAATAATATATTTTGTTTGTTTTCAACAGTTTCTGAAGAATAAAGTTTTTTTGAAGAAAAACGTAAGCTCTTAGGTCAGAAGAATAAAATCATAACCATGTATATATATATATATATATATATATATATATATATATATATATATATCGCAAATCCAAGATTCTACCATTCAATATATATATATAATATATATATATATATATATATATATATATATATATATATGTATATATATATACCTATTCATATATGTGTGTGTGATTACATATTATTTAAATAATAAATGAATATAAATTATTTCATTTCATAAACATATTTCATATTTGTTTAAACTTTAACATATAATCAAATTTTGAAATTTCATTTAATAAATCTTTAACATATATAAAAAAACTCCATATACCATTTCATGAATACCAATTCGCATTTTTTAACAAACTTAAAAACAATTTTTCTTGTCATTTTTTGTGACTAGTTCTTGTCAATTTTACACAAATCTCTGCATGTCCAGAAGCCCAATGTTTTTTCTAAAATGAATAAATAATTATTTAACATTTGTTTAAGATCAATATTGTTTTCATGTAAATCGGCGGTAAAAAAGGATCAATTACTATTAGCCATGCAAAGAATTTTCAGGAACACTTGAAGAAAATTGAAATATTGATGAATTGTTAGGATAAAAAATGAAGTTTTAGAATTGAAAAGAAAAAAAACTTACTTGACATGCGATTGAGCAGTAACATGCTGCTTTACATATAGTGCATTGGATTTTAGCTATCATGTCGCACATAGTACAATAAATTATCCGTGGCCCATCTATATTATCATCTCCATCAGATGAAGCTTTCTACAAAAAAATAACAAATAATAATAACAATTACATTTTTCCCAAATAATTAAAAAATTGATGGACTTACCTCAGTATCCTGGTGAGAATTCATAGGCGCAGGATCTTGCTTCTTGAGATTCTCTTGACATGGTGCATCTACTATTTTTGTTGGAAAGGAGTGAATAATAGAACTGACTATTTCAGTTGTTTGCCCTTCTTTGGAACACAGCTTTTCACCTACCATATGAACTGATTGGCATGGTTTATCCATCGTTTTTGCTACTTCTGGATGATCATTTGTAATATTCATTGGTGCATCTTGCTCAGATTGATTATTTTGCATCATGGGCCCATTCGCAGTGTTTACATACGATGAATTAGTTCCAACAACACTATTTTCTGCAGGGCGATTTATTAAGAAATTTTGTGTTGAATCAATGTGTCCAGTGAAGGCATTTTGTGCTCCGCAAGTTTGAGAATTTAATGATGGATTTCCAATTCTGTCGTTCATGGCCGAAGCTGGTTGAAACTGCATTTGCGTAGGGTCTTGTACAGAACTATTTTCAATTATAGAACTTATATTCGGCAAGTTTTGGAAAGGATTTGAAATCATTTGCACGTTATTGTAATTTGGAACACCTTGACCGAAACGACAACCCAGATTCTGATTTCTTTGATAAAGGTTATTGCACATACTATTTTGATTATTGGTGGATACCCCTGCTGTAGCACTAGTCGTCGGTGCACCATTTTGAAAAGAAACTTGGTGCATATTATTGAAACTGTTCATAAATGGTCTATAATTGTTCATATTGTTGCAATTATTTTGAGCCCGTATCATAGCCAAATTACTACATTGTAACAAATTACTTTGTTCTCGAGAATATGGTATCTGCTGAGATTGCATTGGATTATTCAAGTACGAGACAGGGCGGTAACTATTATTGGCATATGGTCTATTATAATAATGATTTTGCGATATTACGGGTGCTATGTTTGAGCAAACGTTAGTTACATTACTCTGCCCCATATATTGATTCAATAGTGAACCATTTTCGGCTGTTTGTTGGAAATTGATACGTGGCATTGGAAAAAAGTTATTTCTGTTGTCAACTGGTAGAATATTATTAGTAACTGCTTTTTCGATTGTGGCCGAAGTTTGTTGCAAATTTCGTCTGCCATTCAGAGATTGTTCAAACATCATTTGAAAGTATGCTTTATTTCCTGTACTTGTTGTCCTCGACCATGTATGTGGTAATTCTTTCGATGCATTATTTTGATTCAACAATTGAATATCCGAAGATGATTTGTTTTGGGAAAGAGGCTGGTTCGGATGCGACAAATCAGTTGTATTATCTGAATCATTTATCCGAAGACTAGGCCTTCTAGGTTTCTTAGGTTTACCTTTAGGTTTGGTTTTCTGTTTTTTTGAATTTTCAAAAAATTCTTGCGAGGGAGTGAAGGAATTAGTCGGTAAAAGCAGCATTGTAGAAATATCTGGTTCACAACTTTCACTATTTTTTGAATTTGTAAGCGTGTTTAATAATTCAACGAACAAAGTTAGACATAAGGATTCAATGTGATTAATTATATCGCTCGCCTCAGACATTTTTTTTGCTATGTCTAATATTTTATTAAAAACAGTTTTGTTTCTTAGTATAGTAACATTCGAATAAGCGTATTTTTTCGACAAATAATTTAAAGCATTGAATAAACGTTTTCTTCTTGTTAATCTTAAGACATCGTAATCCAATAAACTAATTCTATAACGAAATTTATCGATATCATTAGCATTGATAAACGATAGTCTATTATTATAATTATTTACTGCACAAAAAATATCATTAGAAATGTCAACGGCAAAACATAAAAAGATTGCATCTTTATACATATGAAAATCGACATCATCAATTGAGGCATTAATCGAGTTTTGATGACGATTTCTATACGATGGTAAGCTTATATCGGCAGCGGCTTCTTGTGAATTCATACTTTCCAATGATCTAACTCGAATTTTTGGAAAACTCGCGTTTGTCTCATTCGATGTGTTTTCAGATCGAGACATGGCACTCGAAATATGCGATTGTCCAGGAGATGATAAGCTATTAGTTATATTCATTGGAGATACATTCGATGAAAAATTTGAAGCTGCTTTTGAAGAATTCGCACGATTCATTGCATCAAACTTTGATGATATTGATTTTCCAGGTCCATTCAATGTCTCTGCCAATGGTAAATCACCAGGAAGTTCAAATGGCATGTTGCCGCTACCGCTATTAGCATTCTTGTCATAAATATTTGTCGCAGTTTGAGGTGAAGTATTAAACTCAGAACGTACCATATTAAAGTTATGTCGGTTCTGATCTAAATGCTGAAATTGAGTTATGCACACACTTGCTGTGGATCCATTATTAACATTCTCCGAATCTGAAATAATGGCAGGAGAAAAAGCTTTTTCGTGTGTTCTGCTCGTTGTCCCTGGCACAACTATCGCACATTTGGTGAAAGTCTGTGGTAAAGTACGTTTCTGTCCATTTTGGAAACTAATGGATGGTTTCGAATACACTATTACAGAATCAGAAGATCTTATGAACTGATTGTTTGATGAGAAAATCCTTGTTTGTGAATCTGAAGAATGCCTAATTTCGTTAACTTGTATGTCAGGTAGTTTATGTTGGGCATTGTCAGGAGCGATATTGACTAAACGCTCAGAAGGTTTGGTTAGCACAATTTTCTCCTGTGAAATTCCAGATTGTACTAATCCAAAAGCATAAGAATTAGAGGAAGGCTGTGAAAAAGTAACTGGGTTGATAGATGAATTTTCACAAGTTTCACTTTGTAAAGCAGTTGGTGACTGTAGAATTATTTGCGTTCGATTCACAAAAACTGGTAAATTGATAATTTTGTATTGGTCATTTAATGGAGTTATCGTTATTGGATTCGGAGGGCAAAGAAGCGAAACTAAATTATTTTGACTTGCTGGCAATAGCAAAGTTGACGGCTCCGATGATTTGTCATTTTCCTGTGTTGAGTTCCACTGACATATTGGAAAAATTGTCAGAGATTGCTCAGCTCTACTTTTGTCTACAGAGGATAATATATTTTGCGAATTATTTTGAAACGGTTTTGGTAATATTTTTTGAAACGGTTTTGGTAATATTTTAGCAGCATTATGCGTCGGTATCACGCTGGTATTTTTAACTTGTAATTCTGAATCAACATTCGAAGGAATCGTCGATTTAAGCGATACATTGGGTTTGGAATTAAGTAATACTGGCATATTTTTAACTTTATTGTTTACAGGCGATAATTGCTGATTAATTTGCGGACTATTTTGGAATAATTCTGGTAATATTTCAGCAGCTGCTTGCGGTGGTATCACATAGGGATTTTTAACTTGTAAATCTAAATTTACCTTCGAAGAAATTGATGCTTCTTGATCCGATAAATTCGTTATGGAACTAGCTGACACTGGCATATTTTTCACTTTATTTTCCAAATCATTCTTCTTAGGAGTACTGGCGCCTGTATCTCTTTCATTTTGGCTTTCTGCAAATGATATTGTTATATTAGCAGAACTTTCACCCGTTTCATTATCACTTCTCTCTATAGTAATATTAAACTTTGGTATAATCTTTGGAACGTCTCCATTTATTGTTTGTTGTATATCACTGCTGATGAGTGAAGTTTGATCATCTCCGTGAGATTTCTGTGTTTGACTAGTAGAAATAAGTAAATCCTTACTAAAGTTATCTGCAGGTAGATTATCGCAAGCGACTTTATCCATAATACTATTTTCCTCCACAATTTCTTTATCAGACAATTTTTTTATTATTTGTTTGGCATAGTTTAAGATCTGTCGACAATTTTCCTGCAAGCTTTTAATTGTTACTGGTCTCTTTGGTTCACTTCTACTATTCTTGTCACTAGATAAATTAGAGGAAGTCTTTCCTTCCAGGGCGTCAATAGTAATTTCTTCATTCCTGTTTATATCCAATTTTGAATTAGAAGTCGTTTCTTGTTCTTCATTCGATGTAATACTATTAACTTCACTTAATGAAGAAGCATTCACAATTTTTGGTAATGGGCTAATTTGCCACTCTATTGTTTCGTCTAAAATCGGCATACTCAGGCCTATAGGCTGCGTTAAATTGGCTGGTTCTGAAGTTTCTAAATTTGTCTTTTTATTTGTGTCAACATTCTCGCCTTGACTGACCGAGAAAACATTTAAAATTTGAATGGCATCGGTATCAAACTTACTGGCTTTATTAGTATTATAATTAGCATTATCCATCCCATGATCGGACTTCGCTTCTTCAGAATGTTGATTAGGTAAAATTTGAGTTTCGTCTTGTGCTGTGAGCTGACCAATTTTATTGTTATTATTAATATTCTGCTGAAAATTTCTTTCCTTATTTTTAACCCGCTTACGTTGATTTTTCTTTTTCTTATTGGGTACAAGGTCATTATTCGTCTTTAAAATATCAATATCTTTAAAAATATCTATTTCACGCACATTTTTGACAAAGATATTTTTAGGCAATACTACCTGGTTTGAAATAATATTTTCATTCTCTGCTAGAGCTTTTATAATAGATTCCCCTGATGGATCACTCTTACTTTTTTTGACGCTTCCAAATTTCAAAAATTCTTCCGACTTTCGCTTATGTCTCGATCTAACTTTTTTGAAACCGTCATTTTTAAATTCTGTATCTATTTCTTGTATCCCAGTTTTATCACGTTTTACAGCTTCCCGGTCGTCTCCAAAAAGTTCCTTCAGCTCGATCGTTCTTTCTTTGAAGGACATGCATTTTTGTGAACTCGATTTTCTTTGTTTTGATTAATAGACTTACTTGGTTTTTTGGAAGTGGATGAATGTTTCTTTTTGGTATTGAATGCGGAGCAATTTGACTTAACATTACTAACGCACTTCTTTTTATTTATGGTATTTCCAAACATCTTTGGTTCAACTTGGCTGATTTCATTATTTGATTTAGTACTAGGTATTTCCTGCGAGCTATCTAGCGATTTCATGGCGCTGTTGTTTAGTGACATTTTCTTATGGTCCATCATATTCGGAAAATCAGTGTTATTATCCTTGCCAAAACATTTTTTGGTGTCCAATGATTCTTGTTTGTAAATGCTAAAATGGTAAATTATAATGAAACAATATTATAAAACTGTATAAAGCCGATTGGCGTATAAATAAATAAATAAATAAATAAATAAATAAATAAATAATGAAATTTGAAAATCATTTACCAGTGTTTTTTAGTCATTAAGGTAATAATTGATTTATTTAAATAATTAGAATCTCGACAAAAGGACAAAAGGTAGGTACCGTGCGATAAATCCATATATGATTACTAATATACCAAATCGTTTAGAAATACTCATCATTTTGGAATTTGTTACTATACTATATACCTAAATATATATTTATATATACATAAACTCCAAGCTGAAAACATGCTTCGTTTTGATTAAGCTTTTTTTATAACAATTTATATTATTTATTTTTATTTTACAATTATTTAAAATTTATCATAACTCGACGTTTATCAATTTGTGTTTCATAATTTTTTCGTGCAATTTTCGTGTGGTTTTGTGTTTTTTTTTTCAATTTATTTGTATGCACTGAAGATGGGTCAAATCAGGATCCGAAACGGATGTTTTCTTAATAAAAACATTTTTTTTCAATAAAACTCTTTGTAATTACTGGATGGATGCCCAAGAACAATTTTATCATATATATAATAAATAAATAAATATTTATATATATATATATATATATATATATTAAATTTTTTTATTATAATTTTGATGTTGAGATATGTGATATTCAGTTTTCAGGGCAATACATCAATTAAAAAATTGTATGACTTTAAAACATTTTTATTTTTTCCATACGTTTCGACACATTGTTTTGTGTCATCTTCAGTGGACTCTAGATTGAAAGAACAGATAGAAATTATTAAATAAAACTAAAATATAAGAAGTGATATGGTATGAACTTACATGTAATTGAATTAATAATTCCAAAAATAAAAATCGAAATCAAACAATGATAACTGACCACATACAAAGTTTCAATCATATTTTCAATTTTGATGTGGCCACAATTTTATATCACGAATCGAATACATCTCAGAGACGCTTTTCAGAATCTTGTCTGATACACCTTTACAAAAATAGTTTAAACAAAAGATTGGACACTTCCTCACTGTGCGAGAATTACCAAGTAGTCTTAAACAATGTCTCGAAATTAATACTTTTAAAATAGTTACCTATCATGATCGACTTTTAATTATATTAATTTTAATGCCAATTTTTCTTTTTCTTTTTTTTTTCTTTTAATTTTTATCTCAATTTTACAAATTATGTCCACCCTCACATTTGTCATGTTTTTATATTTCACTATATGTACCCTCTCGCGTTGTCAAATCTTAAATTCTTTGGTCAGTTCGTTTGCTTTGTACCTAACCCTCAACACGTGGTTCGCACATTGACGTACATTCAGTCAGTAGTCACCCCGTACATCGGAGCACAGAAATGTACGGCGTGATGTACTTTACAAATTCATAAAAAATCTCATTCAAAAATTTATATATTGTTCAATTTAAAATGACAAGGATTGGTTTTTTGTTGCATTGTGAACATTTATAATATGAAATAATTAGGATTGTGCATTGTGAACATTTATAATATGAAATAATTAGGATTAATTCAATTACATGTAAGTTCATACCAAATCACTTCTTATATTTTAGTTTTATTTAATAATTTCTATCTGTTCTTTCAATCTAGAGTCCACTGAAGATGACACAAAACAATGTGTCGAAACGTATGGAAAAAATAAAAATGTTTTAAAGTCATACAATTTTTTAATTGATGTATTGCCCTGAAAACTGAATATCACATATTTCAACATCAAAATTATAATAAAAAAATTTAATATATATATATATATATTTTGTATGATTCTGAATTTGATGTTGACATATGTATTAACAAAGTCTAATAATCGGGCATAACATCAATAAAAAACATGAATTTCTTTCAAAAATTTATTTTAAATCCAATATGGATTGGATTATGCAAGAAAATACCACCGGCAAGGGCGGCAAATGGACATTGACATTGATTTTTTTAATCTTATATGACTTGAAGTCAAATTCTTTAACGCCATACCAATTTTTTCGTCTGCCGAAAGTGAAACAAAAGAAATAATGTCGAGAAGCCGACTACGATTATTCGTATTAGTTAGAAAAGGGCTGTTTTTAGGGTTTTCCCGACAATTATTCGAATTTTTCTCGCCGTAAGAACCATCCCTGGACATCAACAAACATTTTAAAAACAGAATTGGCCAAATTGGTCCAGGCGCTGTTGAGTTATGCGCTTACCAACACATTTTGCGATCCATTTTTATATATAAGATAAATCAAAATTAGTTATGCTTGTTTCTATTTCAACTAATTTTGTAAAAATTATAAATTATGTTAAAACATTACTATTGTTAGGATTAGATAAGTTGTTTTAAGTGCTAAAATGTAAGATTTAAGATTAAAAGTTATGAAGTTTCTTTGTATAAGAACATCAGTATTTAGAAAAGTATACAATTAATAAAATTTTTTGATTATATTTTAAAAAAGAAGGAGGTTTAATAAATTATGTCATTTCTACTTTATTGTTCTTTTATATATATAAAAGGTTATTTAATATACTGATGATTAAAGGAAGTTGAGTTTTTGAAGTAATATTTTATAATTTTTTTTATTTTTTCTTCTAAGAATGTAATTTTAAAAACTAATTTATTTTTAGGCGATTCTATAAAAATAGAACAATTTTAAAAATAAAAGCTTATTTTAAAAATTAGAATCAATTCTTATAAAAAATATTATTAAAAGAATACCTTTAGTAATTATTTTTTTATAGCAATATAGATATAAAAATATTATTTATATCCATGTTAAGTTTATTAGCATTTGCCTATGATACTTTTTTTAAACCCAGAGAAAAATGTTGAAGATTGATAAGTAGAGAAATAGATACAATGATTGCAGAATATGATTCAAAAACTTGTAGAGTAAAATTAGAACGAAGCGCTTTTTTCTTGGGTCATTGTGTTTATAGCTCTAAAGATACAAGAATGAATTTAATAACTGAAGAAGTAAACAAACTATCTTTTCGCTAACGACTATTAATAAAAAAAACAATGTCAATACGTTTTAAGAATAGTTAAAAAAATTAACCCTATGTTTAGATGGTTACTAGCAGTTGTCAGCACTTGGTTTAGCCCTTCACAAAAGAAATGTGCTTCAATAAGCGAAGATGTAAATACGATGGTAGCTAAATATGATTTAAAATGGGATAGGTTAAAATTGGAGAGAAGTGCTTTTTTGAGACCCGAGAATGAATTTATTAAGTGATGAGGTCGATAAACATTTTCTAGTTCTTGAAGATAGAGGAAATTTATGTAAAAATGTAATTCAAACAGTTTTAATTCAGTGTAACGAACTTATCAAAAGAGATGATGATGAAAAATTAGCTAATGAGATCAAAGAAATAGTAGAGTGTTTGGATAAGATACTTATTTTAGACAGCTGCGATGATGATTTCGATTATGAATATTTATTTAAAGACGATATGAAAAATCAAGAAGAAATATTTTGTTTGGCTTGTAATGAACAGTTACATGAAGCTAAACAGTGTTCATTATATATATACATGTGCAATTTCCATATTTTGATGATCTATTGCCACCAAAACTTTGCAGTGAATTGATTCAAAAAGCTTGTTTTTGCAAAATTATGAGAAAATTGTTCCCGTTTAATTATAAAAATTTTGAAGATTTTAAGTCTGAGATGACATGCGAACAACTTAGAATTTTTGCAAACAGAGGAGAAGATGTTATAAACAAAACAACCAAGTACTATATATAGAAAAGAAGCAACTAGAGCCCCTAAGCCTACAGAGAATGCAACGTGTTCTGAACCTGGTCAAACAGAAGAAGCCTTTCCTAGAAGATAACGATAAACAAGCAGAATGTATTAAAACTAAATTAAATTCTGAAGAATGTTCGTTTAATTTAATAAATGATAAAATGACAAAATAAAATAAGATATCAGATTTAGATACAAATTTAAACGAGGAAAAAACTGAATCTGATTTTGTACCTGATTCTAAAAGCAAACCTCATTCAGAAGAAAATGATAGAAAGTTTGATTTAAATCCAAATTTACAAAGAAATAGGAAACAAGAAGAGATTAATATTTTCGATGAAAAATCTGTACAACAAATGAAAAATTTAGAAAGCGTAAAGAAAAAGAACAACCAGAAAATGACGATTTAATCAAACCAATCGCTGATTTACAAATAGATAAAGGTATTGACTTTGAACCAAAAGATTGTCTCTTAACGAAACCGAACATGTTACAACCCTTACAAATAAAAGGGGAAGAATTTCAAGGAGCTTATGGATGGGATAAATGCTATTGTATGATAATTGAAGAAACAGAAGATGAAGAAACAGAGGAGTACGAAACAGAAGAGAAGAAAGAAACAGAAATAGTGTGTTATACGAGTAGTGTTGTTGGAAATTATTATTATGACATATATAATAATACACTGCCCACTATTTACGAAGAAATCAGGTGAAGAAAATGAATCACAGCCAGAGGAGGAAGTCAATTCATCAGATAGTGTAAATGATTCAATTAATTGGCAACAAAAACCAACCCCTCTCCCAGGAGTCAAAAGTAAATTTGATTCTCATGAAAATGAAGAGTTTCCGGTACATGATTAGAAAAAAGAATATGCAAACAAAGATCAACAAATTACAAACACGTCAGCTAATACTAAAGGGTTGCATATGGCTCAGATTGAAAAAATTACAATAATTCCAGAAACTGCTGTGGAATATAGTGTAGAATATAAGAAGATAGAAAGAAAGTCTATAAAAGTACAACAAGAAGGGAAAGTCCTTGTAGCAGATGAGGTTTTAACAGACATTAGAGAATCTAATGAAATAAAAAGAGTGATTTTTGATAATAATAAAGAAGCGTTTTACGATGAAAGAAAAAGAAAAGAGGAGGAAGAACTTTTAGAATTCGAAAGGCTGGAGAAAAAGAAAAAGAATTACAAAAAGAAAGGGCGAAAAGCAACATTTTTAGAGTTACTTGAAAAAAGATAGTGGGTATCATTGAATGATAGTAGAAATAAAGAAAAGTGTCATAAAGAGAATATAAGTAAAGAAGATGGATATTAACCACAATAATTC